ACAGTAGATCAAAGCCCACACCGCAGGCCGTCGTCGCGCAATAGACCGCAAAATTAAATTGATTTTGGTAAAACGATATCGCCTCGGCAGACCAGCGATTGACCGCTTCATCCGTAGTTACTTTCGGTAATTTATACGCGTGCGTTAAATTTGGAAACTCGGCTGAAAAGGAATTGTCTTCGTTTACTAAAATATTTAGACTACTAAAATTGCCTCCCATTTATTTTAAAAGAATTTTAAAAATAATCTTCACCAGTCTTTTACAGGTGCCGTTGGAATAGTCGCTTCTCGATAAGTGGGTGGATTCTCTTTGTACTCGCTCGCTTTGCTCGCTTCGTACCCGCTACGCTTGTTCTCACTTCGTTCGTGCTCCCTCCGGTCGTACTCAACCGACTTTGTAAAACTTATTCTCCAAGTTTTTTCGTAAGATCTTTTTTTAAAACCGCCGCCCGTTCGTTGGCTAGCGCTTCTGCTCTTTCGTTGACTTGACGTTCAAATTCTTGCTCGCTGTGAACTTTAGTTTCTTCCAATTTTGTAGACGTACGTGATCTGATCTTTGCTTTCATCTCGTTAAACTTTTTCAGCTCGGATAAAATAAGGACAAATTCTTCCTGGGATATGTCACTGTCTTCAATAGCGTGAGATACGTATTCCTCGATGGTGTTTAATTTAGCGTCTGCCAACATTCGAATTTGGTTGTGTTTTTTAGTTTTGTGGGCGAGTCTACGGGAGGCGTACTTTAAAATCGCGTAAGCGCCAAACGCACCGATAGCGATGCCTTCCATCACGAGCCCGACGGGACCGGTGATCACTCCCAAAATGGCGGGAATGCCTACGGCTGCCGATGTGGCACCCAGTGCTTCCACGCCGTATTCCACATTTCCCAGCGCCGTTAAAAGTCGTTTGATCTTTTTGTAACTATTTTCCCTCGCGTCGCGTTCTCTTTGGATTTGGGATTTAATTTCTTCGATCTTTCTTAGCCTGTAAACCTTTTGTCTCACTTCGTTCACTCGCTTCAGCGGAGTTTAAAGTCAAATCAGGGTAAATTTTAGTTGTCATCTTTTATAATTACGGGTTTTATATTATATTTAACTCGATAAGTACCCCACTATTCCCGTTTTGTACCAATTCCCCACTTTCCAATTTGATGTAAAAAGTTAACTCGTCTATATTTCTCCGTTGCAATTTCTTGGGTACATC